AGCTGTCGGGGGACAGTTGAGCCCCAGTATTATGTTAGGAGTACCCTTGTGACAGGGTATTGGTGTGTTCCAGGATCTCCTACTGAAGGGAGAGACTTCAGGGAAGAAAGAAGTCCCACCAACTCCAAGGATCTGGATGCTATTACAGGGGGTGCGTGGGGCAGGGAGGAGTTCCATCGTAGCCTTAGGATGCTGGGGGGAGCGGGCCCCGCTCCGTCGAGGCTCGGCCGCTCGAGAGTAGTCAAGCCTGGAGCAGGTCCACTGGTCCGGATTAGCGTTCCGCTCGAGGCTTTCGACGCTCGGCCGGCCACCCTGGGCGCGCCCCGAGGGGCGGGGCTGAGCGGGCTCGGCGTTGGCGGCGATCGGCGATCGGCTGCTCCCGCCTGAGGCGGCCGGCCCGCGTGCGCCGGTGCCAAGATGGCCGCCTCCACCGCCCAGTGCCGAGTGACAAAAGCGGACAGCAAGGCGGTGGCGGGGCCGCGCGCGGGGGGCGTCCGAGAGCGCGCGCCCGCGGGGGCGCCCCCGCTCGGTCCCCCGAGCCCGGGCTGTCACCAGGGCTTTCTTCTGCAATGGCAGTGTCTCTGGGTGCAGTTGATCACCAGGCCTTTCTTCTGCAGTGTTTCTACGTGGAGTCAAACCAACAAATGTTTGGTTATTAGCTAAGCATTTAGCCATTTACACGACCCAGAGATTCTCATGTCAAGAGCAGTGCTGTCCATGAAAATGTTCTGAGATGATGATGTTCTCTCTCTGTGCTGCCCAATATGGTCACCTTGAACCACCTGTGATAGCTGAACCCTTGAAATGCATCTAATACTAGTCTAGTGACTACCCTGTTGGGCAGTGCAGATTGAGCACCTAGCTTCTAGATTCTTGATGATTCCTAAATTACTGGAATGAACCCTGGTGCTATAGCATAGTGGGTTATAAGTTGGACTGCTAACTGCAAAGTCAGCAGTTCAAATCTACCAGCCATACCACAGGAGACAGATGAGACCCTCTGTTCCTGTAAAGATTTATAGCCCCAGAAACCCCATACAGGGTCGCTATGAATCGAAACTAACTCCACAGCACATCACCACGACCACCACCAAATTACCTGGTGTCCTGGTATGTTGTTGTTGTTGTTGTTGTTAAGTGCCTTCGAGTCGGTTCCAACCCATAGCGACCCTGAACAGGGTTTCCGAGGCTGTAAATCTTTACGGGAGCAGAAACCTCATCTTTCTCCCGTGGAGCGACTGGTAATTTCAAACTGCTGACCTTGCGGTTCACAACCTGATTCGAAACCACTACGCTACCAGAGAAGTGTCCTGGTATAGCGCTGTAAAATAAGCACTAAACTGTTAACCACAAGGTCAATGGTTCAAACCACCAAGTGCTCCTTGGAAAACCCTATACAGGCTCACTGTGAGTTGAAACTAACTCGATAGCAACAGCAACACAAGTTACCTGGTAGTAGTACATCAGTACTACCTCTTCTGTTCATCAAGTGATGCGGTGTATTAGGATTTGACCTGTAGCATCTCATTTATGACTCAAAGTAGTTTTGTGGGAGCAAGGATTGTTGTGCCACCATTTCACAGAGAAGGCTTTTTGTGGCCACATAGCAGCAGGGTTGGACTTCCAAAATGCCCCATGTTGGGCAGTCTCTTTGTTAGACAGTGACTTGAGAAAAATCACAGCACTGTTTGGTGGAAGTGTCTAGGACTGGACACCACAAGGGAAGTGGACAAGGCAAAGAATTCAGCCTAGCGAAGCCAAAGTTTGTGGGCACGTTTACTGAATTTTGAAGCACAGAAGTTGGCTGTGAGGAGGAGGTGGGCTTTGTTGTTAGTTACCATGGAGCTGGCTCCAACTTTTGGCGACCTTACGTGCACAGAGTGGAACTGTGCACCACAGGGTTAAAGCTGCGACGTTTCATAAGCCGATCAGCAGTCCTGTCTTCCGAAGTACCTCTGGGTGGGCTCAAATCTTTTGACTCTTAGTTGAATGCTTACCCATTTGCACCACCCAAGGACTCCCAGTGGACTTAGAGGCATGGGATTGTCTAGGGGCCTGCTGAGCCCCTCTCTATGTTTCTGCTACTTGCAGCTTTCAGGGTGCTATACTCTGGGCTTAGCTGGACCCACCTGCAAGACTTTTCACCCCTGAAAGGTACTCAGGGGTCTAGAAATGGAATGGTGGGACTCTCAGAGTCTTTCTCCATCTTTGACAAGGAGGAAATTGAGATCTGACTTTTGGGACAGAGTGAGAGCATGAGCTCAGGGGTCTTGCCTCTGCTAAGGGTTGTCCCCTGGGTACTCAGCTCACATGTCTGCCTTGCTTTGCAGTGTCTTTGGGTGGCTGGGGACACATGAGGCCATGTCTCCAACCCTGCCCCTTCTTTCTCCATCACTCCAGCAGCGGTTTGTATAGAAAGTCTTGTACAAATCAGGCTCACAACCTTCGCTGGGCACTCAGGCCAAGGGCCTGGGATTGGGAACACGTGTCTGGCTGGCTGAGTTGTTTCTGCTAGAGCACCAAAGTGACAGGCTATTGGGATGTGAGAGGTCAGTCTACAGTGGGCAGTGAGGTTGGCACACCCCTGGCCTTATTCTCCAGAGGGAGGGCTGTAATCATCCTTTCAGGGGACACTTTGTAGGGGCGCATAAAGATGCTGGAAGTGTAGCCTCGAGATGGCATGCCCAGTACTAGGGACCAGCTCTGGACATCTGCTTGTGCATTTTCCTTGTTGTTGTT